TTCTTCAGATACCGATCGTTGGCACAACTGAAGTAATGAGAATTAGACAGCAAATACGCAGGAAAAAAATCTTAGAGATACGACTGGAACACGTCTAAAACAGATTTACGATAAAAATAAGTACGTAAATTTAAGAGAATAAGTAAATGAACGAACCAGAACATAAAATACTAATCTCCAAATAAGTTTAAAGACCGCAAAAATGAACCTTTTGTCTGCAGAGAGATTGCCTCCAGAATTAACACTTGGTGCTTGGACCTGCCTTTATGCAAAATGGAGAATGAGTCCGCCTTGTAGTTTTAATGCATGCTATATTTATGGCTTAAAGTGCTCAATATTAGGGATAGAACATCTGTAAATATAAAAGTGAACACTAAAGTCAATACACAGAGGCGTCAGACTCTTTCATGCTTTAAATGCTCAGGCGATGACGATTGAGTTTATCCACTTATATATATATATATTACAGCAAAAAAAAAATTTACCTCAACATCGGAATAGACTATTACAAACCGTTCCTTAACGTCTTTCGTCAGACACTAAGTATTTGTCTTTGGAGCACTTATTAATGTATTTTTCAAAGCGAGTCTCTGGTAGGCGCCTTCTGATATATATATATATATATATATATATATATATATATATATAATAGAGTAGATAAGTTGGTCAGTAAAAGAAAGTCAAACGAAAGGGTAACGGGGTAATCAGTGAGAAAAAAACATTTATTAATATTAACCAGGTGACAAAAATGAAGCACGGTGACTGAGGTTCCAAGTTCGGAATTTTCGGACACGCCTGTGTTCTTCATCAGCGGATGCAAGAGTGCAAGAATTAGACAGAATGACTGTGAAGACTATTCAACTATAGTTCTTGAGGCATAGTGAGAAATCAGAGAACTTTTCTTTATTTTTTTTTACATTTCCACCTACAAGCAGAACTCTACCCAGCTTCAAGAACTAAATTCAAAACCCGTTACAATGTTTTTTGTTTATTTATTCATATTTTAATATCATTATATTTATTCACTATATATATATATGTTGATACCTTCAGACAAGTGGACCGAGCAATTACACTAGATTTCGTTTACGAACCCTGGAACAGAGATGCTGAACAGTAATCAAGTGACTAATTTTATATTTGTATTATATATATATATATATAGTCTCATTCGCATATTGGCCTGTTTCGCTGTATATCACAGCTCATCAGTGAGACTAGACAACCGAATGCTTCAAGCCAGGATCGAAACCGGACCGATTTAGTTTCAAGCCAGATGTTTTTAACCTTAAGCCATATATATATATATATATATATATATATATATATATATATATATATATATATATATATATATATATATATATATATATATATATATATATATATATATATATATATATATAATGAAATTAAATATAATGATATGAAAGTATGAATAAATAAACAAAAAACATTTATATATCTATATTAAATCATAATAATAACTAGTTTTAAATACTAAAATAAAGTCTTAAACAAGAAAACTGAAATAATGGTAGGCATATAAATAAATAGCTACTTTGCTATCTAAGCACTAATTAAAATACGCAAATAAATATATAAACTTTGAATAAATAAATAAAGTAAATATATTATAAACTTCAAAAATTATTAATAAATACACGAATAAATATTAAATATACACATCTATACGTTTGTGCGTGTTTGTATGTACATATAAATATATACATACACACACATATACACAAATGAACAAACCTAACTTCACATAATTTATACTTCTATATATAACACGAAGACAAAAACAAATGAACTACTAATCATTACATAAAAATGAATCATTAGATAAACGATAAAACGATATAAACTTAAAATCAAATTTACTACATATACACTATTAAAAATTACATATACGTACGTACCTGAATGTATGGGGTTATATACTGTATACTCTATATACATATATTCAAACAGCAAGAAAAATGCACCATAAAGCCAACCAGCCATAAATAATAACGTAAAAATAGAAAAAAATAACTTTACCATTTAAGCACTAGTTTTTTTAATAACAAAGCACAGACACAAATGTACATATTTATGTACGCGCGTTCGTATGTGTATATATGTGCACTTATGCATATCTGTATACGTACATGCATGTATATGTGCGCATAAACAAGAGTATAAATACAGGCATATGCACATAAATTCAAACAATATTAGATAAAATTTAATTATAAACCTAACCTCCTACAATTAATGCATTGAGAGTACTTAAGATACCACCAAACCAAATAAAAAAAAACGAAATAATGGCCAAAAGAAAACGTATATAAATATTTAATTTATCATTTAAGCATTAATAACAATTATTTAGGTAAAAAATGAAATACAATTTTCACTAATATATATAATATATATATATATATATATATATATATATATATATATAATCTGAAAATCAAATAGCTCTAATTGAAAGAAAAGAGGAAAAGAAAAAAGTGAAGAAAAAAACGAAGAAACGAACAAATAATCACACCATACACTCGCGAACGTACACACGCACACACACGCACACACACACACACTTCGATAAAAAATCTTGCACAGATGATAAGTGCATATAAAAAGAAAACTCGAGAAGTATAAGTAGGTAATTGCTGATACCCCTGACGAGTGGACGGACGGCCAAGTCTTCGAAACGCTGGAGTCGGGATGGTGAATTTAACATCAGTCAGCTAAGTGACAAACTTTTTACTTGTATTAATAATTAATATCAAAAATCAGTAGAGAATTGCCTGTTCAAATGGCATTATTCGGGCTTTATTTCCCGGGAAGTCCTACGTGGCTGGACGGTTAGA